AGCAAGTAGTTTGACTGTTTTTTGGGGTTTTTTTTGCCATTAATTATTCCTAGTCATTTCACCCATACGCTACTGAATCAGAAGTTCTAAAACAATAGAAAAAACAAGTGCACTTTTAACAATGAAGAATAAGATCAATAGAACACTTGCATTTAACTTATCATTTGTAAATACGGTATGTTTAACTATTATCATTTATTACTTTTGTGGACCTGGGGCGAAGCAGTGGCGCAGTAGGTAGTGCTGTCGCCTCACAGCAAGAAGGTCACTGGTTCAAGCTTTGGCTCAGTTGGCATGGAGTTGCATGTTCTCCCTGCGTTCGCGTGGGTTTCCTCCGGGTGCTCCGGTTTCCCCCCACAGTCCAAAGACATGCGGTACAGGTGAATTGGGTAGGCTAAATTGTCCGTAGTGTATGAGTGAGTGTGCATGTGTGTGTGGATGTTTCCCAGAGATGGGTTGCGGCTGGAAGGGCATCCATTGCGTAAAAACTTGCTGGATAAGTTGGCGGTTCATTCCACTGTGGCGACCCTGGATTAATGAAGGGACTAAGCCGACAAGAAAATGAATGAATGAACTTTTTGGACCTGAATGGAAAAACTGATTTTGAGGAAGCATTTCTTTCATCACAAAACAACTTTCCATTTAACTTCTAGTATGTTGTGACCAATTCAATTCAAATTCAGACTCATAAATTGAACAGAATCGGAACTGAAATTTGAATGCAATCTCACAGCAACGTGGAACTTTTTGATGTAGTGGCAAATTCGTATGAATTTATATGAGCTCATTCATAGTACATTCATTAACATCAATGATAGTTGGGGTTTGGAGCAAACCTCCTTTTATAAATATTACATTTTAAACAAACGAAATTGTATGAACTTGTACAAATTACTCACTTTTCTGACATAAAAAACATACATAAATAGGCATGGGCCTATTCTGATTCTGACGGTATGATAACCTTGAATAAAAATATCACGGTTTTAGGTTATTTTGATTACTGCTCTAAAATATATTCATTTTAACATCTGGGTAAAAAACTAAAACTTTTTCCCCTTTGTACACAACATATTTTATTTTGAGAAACATTGAAAATATTTTGAAGCAGTAAACATCTCAGGCTAAAGAATTCCAATGATTCCTTGGCCTGCTGTCTTTATTTGTTTCAAAAACACAGATTACTTTGCAATTTAGAACGGCATCTTTGGATATCTTTTCTGCTGGAGATACTGTTATCCTAAAAAAAAAAAAAAAAAAAAACGTACAAACTTACGCATACCTTAGGAATGGTATAGCAGAAAATTTTAGTGGTTTTAAGACCTTGACTTTTCCAAACCGCGGTATACCTTGAAAATGGTTATCGTCCCATGCCTATACATATACATGCCCATATGAGATTGGGCTGATAATCTGCACATTATTAAACATTTGACAAAATACAAACCTTACATATTAAAAATACCACTTCAAGAAAGTTATACATACCTTTCAGTTTATTTAATAATCAACTGCAGGATGGAGGAGCATTTCATAATCCAAAAGGCATTTTTAATGTGTATTAAAATTGTTCACTTCTGAATTTCGCCCATCATTGGTGCATGAGAAATGTTTTTTTTTTTTTTAATTATCAATTACTTCATGTAATTCTATTCCATTTCCATGAAATGTAGTCACACGATTCCACAAACCACAGGTATAGCATCATTAAGACCCAATTGAAAGTCTTGATCAGATGGCAAGGGACACTCATCACTTCACTCTGACTCTAAAAACATCTCCTCCTGTTGAGCAAAACATCAGATCGGCCCTCCAGAACAGCATGCAAACAGCCTTAACCCCTTCATTAGCATTATGCTAACAGCAGGCACACATGCTGGCAGCAGCTTTCACAGGAGGGAGTGTGCAGCGAGAAAACATCTCAAAGTCATCTGTCTTCATCTTCTCATGCCACCGTGTACAGATGTGCTTTCACTCAACCTCAGGAAAGCAGTGATGGCTCCATTTTACAGTGCCACATCCCACAGGGGCTCTTTGAGCTCAAAAACACGTACTGTGGCACAAAATGAATCAGGCCTATTGTAGAGGGAAAGGTAATGAGACATGTAATGTAGAGACGGGAGAGCTACTTCATCAAACTGCGTGTTGTGCTATTTGTGGTCAGGGATTTCATTGACATTATGTTCTCATTGCAATGTTGTAACGGTGCAGAACTAAATCAATCTTGGGCTATATTGTTCAGCCCCATTTGTTTTTGTAGTATCATAATTTATGTTTACATTTATGTTTCTCGGTAGATGGCAAAAGATTACCAAAGTGCCTTATGTCTTAAGTACAAGTATGGCGTTGTTGTGACATTTTCCTCAGCTTGCAGACAAACACACTGGTTGTGGTGTACCAGAATGAACGTAGCATCTATCTGCCTGTAGAGGAGAAACATATAATGTATCCAGAAAGTATTTATAGCGCTGCTTCACTTTTTCCACTTTTTTGTATGTTACAGCCTTATTCCAAAAATTGATTAAATTAATTTATTTCCTCAAAAAAAAAAAAAAGATTTAATAAAGATTGTTTTAAATTGTTGCAAATTTATTAAAAATAAAAGAACCTGAAAATCACATGTATTTAAGCATTCAAAACCTTTGCAGTGAAGCTCTTAACTGAGCTCAGGTACATTCTGTTTCCACTGATCATTCTTGAGATGTTTCAGCAGCTTAATTGGAGTTCACCTGTGGTAAATTCAGTTGATTGGACATGATTTGAAAAGGCATACACCTGTCTATATAAGGTCCCAGGGTTGACAGTGCATGTCAAAGCACAAACCAAGCATGAAGTCAAAGGAATTGTCTGTAGACCTCCGAGACCGGATTGTCTCGAGGCACAAGGCTGGGGAAGGCTACAAAAAAAAAACATCTGCTGCTCTGAAAGTTCCAATGAGCACAGTGGCCTCCATCATCCGTAATTGGAAGCATTTGGAACCACTAAGACTCTGACTGGCCGGCCTTCTAAGCTGAGTGATTGGGGGAAAAGGGCCTAGGCATCTGAAGGACTCTCGGACTATAAGAAACTTAATTCTCTGGTCTGATGAGACTAAAATTGGTGTAAACTCTTTGGAGTTAATGCCAGACGTTACGTTTGGAGAAAACCAGGTACCTCTCATCACCAGGCTAATGCCATCCCTAGTGAAGCATGCTCATGGCAGCATCATGCTGTGGAAAGATGAATGCAGCAATGTACAGAGTCATCCTCAATGAAAACCTGCTTCATAGTGCTCTTGACCTCAGACTGTGGCAACGGTTCATCTTCAAGCAGGACCAAAATATCAATGGAGTGGCTTCACAACAAGCCCAGACCTAAATCATATTGAACATCTCTGGAGAGATCTGAAAATGGCTGTACACCATCGCTTCCCATCAAACCTGATAGAGCTCGAGAGGTACTGCAAAGAGGAATGGGCAAACTTTTCCAAAGACAGGTGTGCCAAACTTGTGGCATCATATTCAAAAAGACTTAAGGCTGTAATCGCTGCCAGAGGTGCATCAACTAAGTATTGAGCAAAGGCTGTGAATACTTATGTGCATGTGATTTTTCAGTTTTTTTATTTTTAATAAATTTGCATGAGTTTCACATTGTCATTATGGGGTATTGTGTGTAGAATTTTGAGGAAATAAATTAAGTTAATCCATTTTGGAATAAGGCTGTAACATAAAAAATTTGAAAAAGTGAAGCGCTATGAATACTTTCTGAATGCACTGTTTATAAACCTTAATTTTTTGTTATTAAAATCTGTAAATAAATAATTATTAACATTATGCAGTGTATTGTCAAGTGTAATTTTTCTGAATATGCATTGTATAATACAGTTTTCGTATGTACAAAGTACAACCAGAATCAGTGGCCCATAAGGGGCCCAGATACCAGCGTGTGGGGCACCCATCCACACTAATCAGAGTGGGTAAGCCCACTGTCAGCCCACACTTTTGGGCTGTCCCAAAGGGGGCTCACAAGTGCCCCACAGTGTGGGTCCCACAGTCAGCCCACACCATTGGCCCCACAGTGTGCTGCCCACAATGGCCCTGTATGAGCCACTAAGTCTGGTACTACTTTGTACATACAGAAAACCATATTATACCATGCACATTCAGAACAATTACACTTGACAATAAACTAGGCCATTTATACATTCATTTTCTTTTCGGCTTAGTCCCTTTATTATTCAGGGGTCACCACAGTGGAATGAATTGCCAACTTATCCAGCATTTTTTAAAACAGCGGATGCCCTAAACTGCGTCATGTTAATCATTTTTATTTACAGATTTTAATAACAAAATATTAACAATTGTGTTAAATTGAAACAGAATCAAATATCAATAAACGCACAAAATAATATATTTGGCAGGTTTTGTTTTATTAGTATAAGCTGTTAAATGAACAGTGTCTTTCATTTAGGTTAGGGTAAACTCGGCTATACAAACCTGCTATAATTCCTGGTGGTGTTCTGACATCTTTACACATTTATGAACTAAACTTTTCACTAACAAGATGAAAAACTGAAGAAAAAAATGCAGTCACAATAATGCATTCATTCCATATAGGATTGTTTGGCAAGTCCTGTAGCCAATTGTTTTTGGTATGGTTTTAAAAATGAGTAAGTGGTTACTAAGTAAATCCTGATAAAAAATAAATAAATAAAAATCTTCTGTGGTATTATCCACCTTAAAAATAATGAATGACACTGAAGGCCAGGCACAGGCTTATTAAATTTGCTAATTGCTTTTACCATTGTGTGACAAGTAAGGTTCTATGACAGACATTTTAAAAGTTTTCACAAACAAAAAACTATTTCAGGTTAGGTTGGTTTGGTAGAATATGTGATAAACTCACCAAATATTCTATTACCAAACCTATCAGCTGGAATAAGGAAGAAATATTTCATGTATTTGTACAGAACATTTCAAACTAGCATATAATTATGCAATTATTGTTATTGTATGAAAAAATATTTTATTAAATACTTTATTACTTTATAAATTTTCATTTAGACTAGTGGCACAATTATTTGGATTGGTTTAAATGTTTAATGAAGGGGCTAATAGATAATTCTAAATTACGTAATGTACTGTAATATATTTTATGCGAATATTAACTTTTGTATGTGTGTAGTCTATACTTTTGTCAGCAGGCCTGCATAATGAAAGCGCTTGAAGGAACTTCCCCTTTAAGAGCATGTCCCTTTAAGAAACTTCACCTGGACACACCTGAACTTCCACCACGGGAGTTACACTTCAAAAGAGGAAATAAAACAATCCAGAAATCTCAACCTGCGCTGAAGTCTGGGTAAGGAAAGATTTCGTTTTTCTTCGCATGTTGTTTGTTCCACAACTTGTGTCGCTCCAATGAGTTTTAGCTGTTTGACTGTTTGTCATATCAAATGTCTTGAGTTACATTAGTTTCGGCTTGGTTACGGAATCTCCGTCATCTCATTATTAAACTAAGCCCGCTGGACTTAATAGAGATGAGGTGTCTCCTGTAGATAACAATAGACTGACATGAAATGTTGTCATTGTTGTTTTGGATGATCTGAATTCGCTCTGTTCTGCTCTGTCGAAGGGTCCATGTTGGTTTTTCGGCCTCGCTCGGGAAGTCTCGGATTTCTCTTCGAAACTAGCAAAACAGATAGCTTGCTGCAGTGACACGAGTTATGGCTTAAGTATCGTGGATCATAGTTTCATGTTAAACAAATGTGTTTTAGAGGAAATTACCTTTTAACTACACGCTTGACAGCAGTTAGTATAGTGAGCATTTTGACTGCTAGCCAGCTGTGTGTCATAGCAGCTAACGTTAGTTTGTTTTGTTGAAAATTGTTAGGCTTAATTAAATTGTATTGCTTCTTGATTTGAATTCAGATTGAAACTAGTTTAAAAAGCATTAAACGGATAAATAGCCTGTTACTAGCTAACTCTTGGCAGTTAACGTTATAACCCTGCTGAAAACAACAACAATCAAAACGTCAAGCTGTCAACTTTTTAAGCTGTTTTAATAGAAATCATATTGGTTAAAGCAAACTGGTGGCACTGTGGGTTTCTACTGGTACTAATTCTGGGCATGGTTTCTACTGTGTGATTTGTGTTTTTTTATTTTAGCAGGGAAGTAACCACATACAAAATAATTTAAGACACTAACTTAATTAGTAAAAGTAATTTTGATTTAATGCAAGATTTGTTTTATGGTTTTGACCCAAAATTACACAATTTAACATTTTAATAATAATTATGATTAATTTTAGGGTGGCGCAAGCATCTTAGTTTTATTCTAGTAGTTTTTTTACAGTGAACATGTAGAACAGTAAACATGTAAACGTGTGTTTTGAATACTATACCTTTATAAACCCTTTTCACAAGCCTGTTATGATGCGTTTAACAGACATCAGTATCTTTAATCCTTGAAAGTTTTTAATATTTTGATTTATTATTTTTTAATGTATGAACCTTTATTTGTATTTGTGTATGTATTATATCATCTGTGCTTCAAATGACAAAAAAATGAATTGCGCTTGTGCAAAGCATTTCTAATGCAACTTCTATGGGACAAGACAGTAAACTTGAAGTTATTCTCTCCTCTAGCTGCCGTCATCAGTCTCGCACTATTTTTTTCCCCTTTTTTCTGAATGTCTTTATAACATCCTTGTGGAGTATTTCTTTTATTATTTGAGTAACTATGATACAGAAGAATACAACAAATATGTTTTTTACATTAACCGCGCTCTGTTTTCCCAACTTTGACGCTTTCTGCTACTGAGAAACCCAGAAATGTTAAAAGGGTCTATTACTAGGCCTGTCACAATATAAAAAATTTTTTGTACGATATATTGCACCACAGTTTATTTTGAAAAACTATATTATTGTTCTTTTAAAGTCAATTGATGCCACTCATTATATAATGCAAGTATGAACATAATAGCATCATAATTGTAGTACACTCTTACAAAAAAACAGTTAATATTTTATTATTTTATAAGATAATTATAGCAAATTTAAAAATTAGGCAGTGCAATTAGAATGTGAAAACGCATATGCTAAACAAATAAATAAAAATGGTAACAAAAAGCGCCAAGGTACCAAGAACTAGAAAAAAAAAATATGTTAAACAAAGTCAATTTAGACTTTTAAACAGAGGCACAGGAAACTGAACAGGCCACATCCTCTACCAGATGTATTTTCACTCGTTAGGCACCCAAATATACTATATTAATTTATAATAAATAATTATATTGTAAATACTATGTTTTTTATGACCATACTGACAATGACACCTCCAATAGAGACTGGATGAGATGACAAAGACTGTGCATTCAGCTAAAATGTTGCTGACATTGGTTTTTAAGTATGGGCGATATATATTGCATCACCAAAACTTATTGAAGTTATGTCCATGTGTGGTGCAATAAGTTGATATTTTGATTATTGTGACAGGCCTATCTATAACTTAAATAACTATAACCACAGTTTTACTACAAAAACAAAGGGTAAACTATAGTTGAGGTAGCAGAACCTTTGTTATGCCTAATATTTTGATTGTTTGTTTTGTTTGAAATCAAAGCATGGTTACTTTTGCAAAAGGATTGATCAAGTTATCTTCATAGAGTCTGAACTGGAGTTGGCTTTTGCTGTAATATTAATGCATTTCACAATATAGTCTCTCTCTCTTTATAAACATATTAGTTCCAGTGTGTTATGGCCTTTCACAAAATGTCACACAACAGTTTCTCACATATCATTGTTAGAATTTCTGTCTTTAGGCCCTGGGACAATGGATAAGGGCCCTCCTGGACCAGTAGCGGTTCCCCAAACCCCCCAATGGGTAGCAGAAGTGGACAAGTTAACAAAGGATGTGAACAGCACTGAGGATGAAGAAGAGCCGATGAAGTCTGCAAAAATGGAACCCAGTACCCTACCATGGCCTGAGAACAAACCCGAAACACAGATTCCCCCAGTCCGTGATGGTGAAACTACAAGCGTGAGGTCCGATTGCACTTCTCTCCGTGGTGGTCTCAGCCGGACCGAGAGCGAGCGAGAAGAGTTCATGATGAAAGAGAAGAGGAAGACTGGTGAGGATTGGAGGGAGATGGAGGCTGGGAAAGAAGAGAGAGTTTCTGACATTGGACTGAGAAACGGGGTGAAAAGCACCCTTACTGAGATCGAGTTGGAAGAGGTCAACACAATGCCGGAGAACGCAGCTCGAGTCTTCAGCCCCAGCATCACCATCCTGCGCTCCACCAGTCAGCAGGAGGCTGCAGAACACTGGAGAGATCAAGAAGAGGAAGCGAGAAGCCCCTTCCTTGGGTCACATGGGACACATGGCACACCGCTAGAAGAGTATTACCAGGACTGGCCGGATACACACAGATCACACTGCTGTAAGCTCATTAATGTTTTATAGGGCTGCACAAAATTAATTATTTTTATTTTTTTCTGCGATATACATTGCGTTATGAATACATTTTAAGTAGAAGTGTTGAATAACTATTTGGAAAGAATTTATCATTTTATATTGGTTGGGATGATTATGTGGGTGAGTGCATATGCATAAAATAAAAGAAACAACCTACAGGCATAGACAAATTCAATCTGCTTGTTAAGTGCGACGTCACATGAAGCGGCTTCCGAGTAGCTATATCAAGCTGTATAGGGAGACTCATAAACTGTAATAATAAACTTTTACCAAGCACCGTATTTCAAAAATCACAATTGCAATATATATATATATATATATATATATATATATATATATACAGTTGAAGTCAGAATAATTAGCCCTGTTTTTTTTTTCCCTAATTTCTACACACATTTCTAAACATAATAGTTTTAATAACTCATTTGTAATAACTGATTTATTTTATCTTTTCCATGATGACAGTAAATAATATGTTATTAGATATTTTTCAAGACACTTCTATACAGCTTAAAGTGACATTTAAAGGCTTAACTAGGTTAATTAGGTTAACTAGGCAGGTTAAGGTAATTCGGCAGGTTATTGTATAACAATGGTTTGTTCTGTAGACTATCGAAAATAAATATAGCTTAAAAGGAGCTAAGAATTTTGACCTTAAAATGTTTTTTATAATATTAAAAACTGCTTTTTCTCAAATAAGTAGCAGCTTGGGCCCAGAAACGGTATTACATAGGTCACCGATATGACATCATGACCTAAGTAGCAGAAAAAGATACAAAGTAAATAAACAGCCTTTTGATTGTTTTCCTGAGGAGTCTAACTGTATTCAGGTATACAGTAGTTGGATAATCAAATGTAAAATAATACTCCATAGTCTTTGTTTATAAACAATTAAATCGGTACAATTTTTTAGGCCTGAATGCTTTTAAATCCCTCACACAGTCACAGGCCTCAAAAAGCACTTTTATTATTATATTATTTATTTTATTATATAATATAATTATAATCCAGACTTAGTATTTCGTATACTCGTGACTATTGTGAATGATCACATTGCGATATCGATGCTGAAACAATATATTGTGCAGCCCTAAGCAGTACCATATTTATTAACTGATTATAAATGTTTTTAGAGATGCAAAGATATTTCTAGCCCTGCAATATACATTACAATATAAATTGACAATATAAATTACATTTGCCATCATCTAGCAGTCATTTAAAACTAAAAAAGTAATTAATAATAATTTAAAATGATATTAATTTAAACTGTACATTTATAATAATATGTTGCTTAAAATCACTTTCCTAAAATCATATTGAAAATATCTGGCTTGGGTTTCCATTTTAGCTTTATTTTTGTGTTAATGTTGTAGATAATAATGTAGAATTTTAATATTCATTCATTCATTTATTCATGTACATTTATTCATGTAGTTTATGTAAAAATGTATATAAAATTCACTTTAATGTGCATTTTGCGTTGACTTAGTCTCTATTTCAGAGGTTGCGACAGCGAAATGAACTGCCTACTATTTCAGCATATGTTTTACACAGCGGATGCCCTTTCAGCCACAACCCAGTATTGGGAAACACCCATACACACACACACACACACACACACACACACTCATATACACTCATACACTATTGCTAATTAAGTTTATTAAATCCACCTTTACTGCATGTATTTGGACTGTGGGGGAAACCGGAGCACCAGGAGGAATCCCGTGCAAACACAGAAATGCCAACTGGCACAGCTGAGACTCAAACCAGTGACCTTCTTGCTGTGAGCCACCGTGCCACCCAATTTTTATAATCCTTAACTTATTTACGGGCATAGAACACATAGTTACTTTATTGGCATTTTTTAAATATAATTTTTTCAGTAACACTCCAGGGTTTTTCCAATGGGTATTTCATTGAGAACATTATAAAGGGTTCAAATGCAATGTAAAAGATTGTATGACAAACATAATTCAACTTTTTCATTCTTATTAGTCCTAATTAGGGCATTTCAATTTGGAGCTGCATAACTGAGATTTTGACTTGATGCTTAAAAGATTTTCCTATGCAAATATTTTAATCGATTGAATTTAGGAACGCAAATTCAGTGTCTAGACTAGCTGCAAGTGAATTCTATGATATACAAATACAATACTAGGCAATCTGAAAATCTTGTTAATGTGACCACCTCTTTATACAAAATGAAAAAGGACCAACACTGTGAACTCACCGCCATGATGAATTTATGAAATCTTTTTTTTTCTTTCAGGTAACTGTGGTTGCTGTAACCGTGATGCTCTTAAACTGGGAGCTTCCATGTTCACTTCAGCTTTGATCTTCCCCTTGTTGGTGTGGGGTGGCTATGTTTTCCTGCCCTTTGATGCTCCTCTACTGGACAGTGCCCCCCTAAGGCTGGTCTACACCCTGCGCTGCTCAGTTTTTGCAGTCATACCAATTGTTCTTGGTGAGTAAGAAGGGAAATGAGGCTTGAGTTCTTACATTGAAAAATACAGCGTGTCTTTTAGTGTGCAAACAGAGCTGAATCATTAAATCACAGGTAACCATTGTTCTCTTTTTTTTCTTTTTAAATCTTAGGTATGTTGGTTCTTGGCGTGTCCCGTCTGTGGTATCGCTCCTTGAAACCGCGGTTTGAAGGGGAGAAGGAAGTTAAGCAGGTTGCTGTTCATCAGCGTTATGTGGAGGACTCCATCTCGCTTTTCCTGCTTTACTTTCTCCAACTGACTGTCATGGCTGCCTACCTGAATCAGGATCTGCTTAAACTTATTCCCCTCCTCACCATTGTTTTTGCCTTTGGCAGGTACTGTACTGAATCCACATGAGAATTATAGAATGGAATGTCTGATTTAGGAACTGTCGTTAACACTCCATAAACGTTCTCAGAACTTCAGCAAATATTCTGGAAAGTTTCTCTCAAAGCAAACATTCTTTAAAATACATTAATAGAATGTTCTGCGTTTTAGAGTAGTTTATCTAAACCAGGGTTAGGCATAAATACATTTAAATGTATTTTAAAATAAAATACCTAATACCTTAAGTTTAAGTGAATTGAAATAAACTACAGAATACAGCAGTCACAAAATGTATCAAAAGAAAATACAGTATTTGTCTATTATAAAAATACTACAAAATACCTTTAAAAAAGGAGCATGACATCAGTCTCTTTACTATTAAACTGACTCCTCAATACTCTCAATCATTTCTGAAAACTTCCAAAAATTTGTCATCTATTTTTGCAAAAGGCTTCATATACTATATCCTGCCCCTGCTGAATAATCTGTCAGTTTTTAGGAGATTATTAAATATGTGTTTTATATGTTGTCACTTTGACATCTTAGGTATACATCTTCATTTACTATACAGTGCAACTATACCTGCTGTTCAACTATTGCCATTTAAAACAGCCAATGGAGTATAGGAATCACCTCTGTAGGACACACATTTCAGAAATCCATTCAAAACTACTATTATTTGTACAGTATACTCTTTTCCAAATATTTTGTCTTTTTTAGTTATTCTTTAAACGGAAGAGCTAAAGGTGCAGTAGGTGATTGTCCTCAGAAGCATTTTTTGTTGTGCTGGTTGAAAGTCTCTTCACAGTCTAATAGTAATGTTTAAAGTAAATGATCTAAATGTATTTATATGTATTTTTATATATTGGGTAAGGCATAAAACTAAAAAATATTCATCCAATTAAATAGTCAGACCGACATCTCTCATAATTCCGATAAGTAGCCCAATCTGTCTGTCAGCAAATGCAGATTTGAACAACAGCGCAGCCTTTTCCACGCATCTCCGCTGACCACGAGAGACCGAGCACGTGCGCGATCAGTAAAAACCTGCTGAATCAAAACTTTTTAAAAACCTGAATCAATATCGGAGTTACCTTTGCACGCTGGAGAAAGGATGACAATGGCTGAAGGATTTCTTTTAGACAGGCAATGTTCTGTTTTAAAACTGTTTTAGCTTCACGCAAAGCTGTTGTAACATTAGATGTTGTTGTTACAAATGGGTTATATCTTCACAGAAGTGTTGTTCAGCCACTAGAATCTTCTGAAGAAAGATTGATAACTATTTTCAGTTTCATAAGGGACCTTTTACAGCATCAATAATGTAGTTTTTAATTAGTTTAACAACAAAACACAAGTAAATAGCGCTATTCCGCCTAGTCTCTCCCTATATTGTTTACCATGCAGCTCTAAATATTCACTTTGAAATGGCATGTCAGTTTGGCTTGCTCGCCGCCAGACAAGCACTAGTCGCTTTTAACACATGAGAAAGGCTTCTTTTGCTGTGCTCGTATTTAAGGAGGCGTGGCTCTAGACGGCACGGGAGGGACTGTGATTCAGAGATTTATGCTAAGCTGTTAGCATTGTGGAAGATCACCTACAGCACCTTTAATAATGTCTAAAGCACCAATCAGACGGTGCATTTATATGATGTCACCATGTAGACTTCTTACAAAGTATTTCATAGTATTTTTAAAATACAAGGCACTAAAGTGTTTTGATACAAAATATTAAGCCATTTCCATTAACCCTATCAAATACAAATGACTATTGTATATATAAAATACATATTTGAAATGCATGTATCATAAATACTGCTCATCCCTGACTGAAACTAAAAAATGTCAAACAAAAATCATTTATATTGTATTATTTTTTTCTACACATATTTTTTATTTTTTTAATTCTAATTTTGTTTAAACTAGCTGCCATTCCTAATTTTTGCTTAAAGGGCACCTATTCTACCCCTTTTACAAGATGTAAGATAGGCCTATTTTAAGGAGGCTGCTCGTAAACTGTACACTAAATTATTGCCCCTTTAAATTTGATATGAAATCAGCAGCAGAATATCGGCTCCTCCCTTTTTTTTTTTCATTTGATCAGCAAACCACAGTCATGGACAGTGAGAGAGATCAAATTATCGATAAATTGTTATAATATCTGCTTATTTGCAGTTCTTAGAAATAGATAACCTTATCACCTGTATTCCAATGTCATGAAGGAGCAGTCGGGTTTTCTCACCGTTCACCTCATCAGCACAGCCATTTTCTCTAGTGAAAAATGTAACTCCATACAAACTTTTTTTTTTTTTTTTCCCAAAATGAACTACCAATATTAAACGCTTTACAGTTTGTGTGGCATTAACTATACCATACACTGTCATCACTGACAAAGATGAAAACATCAAGTGTTGTCTAATATTAAAATAAATACTTATTTATTATCATTTAGATCGTGAAATATGTGAATTAGCCCGTGTTTAAAAATATATATTTATGTTAATGTCATTAAAATTAGAAAAGTGGCAGTTTATTTATTTATGACATGGAAGCAAAAAATGCACTTGAATATAGAAAGTGGTTTTTACTACAGTAAATAGATGGGTTGAGCCTATTTGGCTTATTCATTAACTAAAATGACTATGCCTGTCTATGTAATACAGCGGAATACTAGTGTACAACCCATATTAAACAAACATTTTACTACCTACTGCGCCACTGCATCACGTATGTTACTTCCAAAAATACAATGGTACATAATTTAAGGAAAGTGTTTGGAATATTTTTGGTACTTTTTGGTAGTTTTAATACTAAATAAAAATGTCTATGTTTTTTTTCTGTTAAACAAAAATCAAAATGGTGTTTAAATGAAAGTTTTCAATAAGTGGATATTCAGATATGTTTATTAACATATTAGGAAACATACAAAAGAAAATTCAAACTTATTTTTCCTAACTAGGATGTTGTGAAAAAAAGATTTTTTTTAATGATTGTGTGTGTCTTAATAGAGACCTGTTTATTCACATATTAAAGTGTCGGTAGAATCTCAGGTATTCAATGTTTTGTAATTATGGTTTTCAAGTAGTGCCTTTTTGTCCCCTTACAGATTGCTCTACTGGGTCGCAGCAGCGTGTGGCAGCAGTTTGAGAGGCGTCGGCTTTGGCTTTTCGTTTCTGCCCATGTTGGTTATGCTGGTGGCCAACATCTACTTCATCTTCCTCTCCGAATCTGCAGGCTCAATCTTTGCCCCGAACATCCCAGATCCACCTGTTCCTTCCAACAAACAGAGGTTCTGGGGATAAACAGACGACACATGACTATTTTCTGCTGCTGCCAAATATAGACCAGATCGCTTTCGGCTTAAAGCCCACTGAAATTGGACTACGAGACATTAGTTTCTAAGAATGTGATTTCGTTTTTCTCTCCTGTTCTCTGCATCCCAGAGCATTTTTGTATAAAGAATAGATGGGTTAGATTTGCCAGAACTTTGCTCAAAAGGAGAGAGATATGAGAAGTAGAAAGAAGGTAATGTTTTATTTTTCTCTGAACTAACTTGTGTACTTGGGAACTTGTGTAACTTTAGATGTTAAACTATGAATTAAAAAAAGGAACAACCCTTTATTGCAGCCAAACATGAGCGGAATAAGCTGCTTCATCCATCAAGAGAGCTTCACATGAACCCGTTTCAATGCATCTATTTTAAGATGAGAATATCAACAGAATGAGCACAATTCTGAATATTTATACCACATGTGTTTTTTAAAGTTGGCAATGTTTAAAAAAAGTTTGCATTTGTTAGGCATTGTTTGCTTATTCAAGTCTAAGCTGTTGTGTTGTGTGTGAAGTTAGTGGCTTGCCCAAACCTGTATTTTTCCACAGCCACTCCTTTATCTCTCTTTGAAAATTTAATGGCAATGTGAAGTTTATTCAGAGTGTAGATGTATATTTTTAACAGATTTGTTAAAAGGTTTAGAAAGATACTGGTAGTTTTTTTTTTCCTGAAGCACTTGCGAAATGCTAATCAAAGCTTCAAAGAGGTTTATCTTTTGGGCAAATGAATCTATCTAGCTTAATTTAAATCACATTTTTAACAGTCAGACTCTTTGAATAAATGTTTTTGGTAATAAATAAACATGCATACATTAACTAAAACGTTGTTAATCGCAAAGCGTCGTGAAAAGTGAACCTGTTCAACAAGTTCGCGTGTTTTTTTGTTTTGTTTGTTTTTTGTCGGAGGTCAAAAATAGGCCGTTTCCTGAAGTCTCATTTGACAGGTCGAATACAGGTTGAAAGAGGACCACCAGCTCAACTAATAATTGATTATATCATACTGTAAATGTCTGAGTCAGAATGACATCTCAAAGCCGAAGGAGAAACGGCCCTTGTTTGTTGCGGATGAGGGAGAACTGCCCGTTTCGAAAGCTGAGGAGAAATTGCTGTGGTAAGTTTAAGGATTATCTATTTAAAAAAAGAGGAAAATATCTAAAAAAAAATAAATAAATAAAGATTATATATAAAAATAGTAAGTTAACGTCACTGCTGTTACGCAATTAATTCAAACAACAAAAAAAGCTCACTTTAAGTAACCTGGTAGATATATTTGTCGGCCTACTCTGCTTGAAGTAAAGTGTTCGAGTATGTCATTCAGTATTGTCAATAATGATATATGTTGTGTTTGCCCTCATAAATTTGACATACATTCAGATTTGATCGTTGCTTGTATTTAGATCGGTGTATTCATGTTCCGTGGTGATTGCTCACTATGCCAGCTGTCTGTCGGAAGTTGCAAATCAAGTTATGTAATGCCACTTGTTTGATCGTCCACATTATTATTATTACACAGATTCGAGGAACGCGCTCGTGCCAGACTGGAGTCAGTGCAGATCATGCCCTCAGTCACAGACCGGACCAAAGTGTTGTATGAACACAATCGAGACCTTCTGCAATCCCTCACAGCCTGATTCCCGGCCCCGAGAAGAGCTCTCAGGTTTGCGTCTAACATTCTTTGCGCTGAATCTGTCGGCTGTTTATTAGATTCATTTTCTTTTAATGGCCCCATTCTGTAACGTTGCAATTAAGTCTAGCTCTCTAGCTTGAGTAAGCTAGTTTACTCGGTTTGGGTAAGGACAATTGGTAAAACGGATAATAAGTCTACAAGAGAGAGAAAAAAAAACTAAAGCGTTAGCCTATCTAGATGCGGCCTTGCATCTCTCAGCGACGAAGAGCTAGTGACGTCAATGAGGGGTGTGTAGGTGAGCCCATTAAAAAGCATTGCATGCAACTCAGATTGCATCTGCACCATGTCTTCATCCAGACGCCCCCAAAAAATGAGAAGCCCCAGTCTGCAGCCTGCAGATTTGGGCGGGGATGAATCTGGGGCGGGACTGCACATTCAGCCACGCCCACCTGTGATTTCATTGGTTAGTGGAAACGTAATAGCGTCAATGCCCATACGTGCTGTCAACAGGAAATGCATTTGCATCTTTCTAAATATTGTTTTTATTGCTAATAAACACAAAAATACACAAAAGTGGACATTCTTGCTGAGTGTTTTAAATGTTAACTATGTTAACAGTTATGTGAATTTCATAATGGTATTTCTCCTGCAAAAAATATTACAAAAGACCAAAAAGACTCTCTTCACAATGGTGTCCCTTCATGTCTGCCTTTCAGAAATGCAGTGATTTTAGTTCTGATTTTTTAATGGTTTATTATTTTACTTCAAAATAAAAATGCATATTGCATATTTACAACAATTAAAGGTGGAGTCTGAACAAAAATAAAATAATAAATAAAAATGCAGTGTATTTAGTTCAGTTAATTCTTTTTCCCTTTGAATGGGAGAGATCTCTGGAAAATTTACAACTGATAATATTATCATTACACTTTGATTTAAGGCTATTAAAATATCGGGCGTGTGTCCAAATGTTTCTCTTTCAATACTGCACTGCTTTGAGTTTGAAAATTACTTATTTATTAAAAGCAGGGATAAGCTATTATTTATCAAGGGAAGTATATGTTTGTAACCTTTTCACTTATTAAATCAGATTATTTCATCATATAATGCATTTGTTTACTTTGATGCTGCTATAAATATAAATGTATATTATCCGTTATATGTAAATGTCCCAGCACGAGAAAAATTCTTTATTACATTTTTTCATATTACCTGGTATGTCATCTATGAATGCAATCGGTTCATTTATTGATCCATTAAAGTTTTGTTCAGTTTCTCCATTTGAATGAAGACAGTGCTCTGCTGCCACCTACGGGGTGGTTTTGATATCTGTTCTACATTTTATTTAATATATTAATTAATTAGTTAATCCAAAAGTTTATAATTTTATAATCTAATACTGCTAAATTACAATGCAGTCTTCTTGGTTTTATTTTTGTAATATTTGTAAATACAGGGCAAATACTTTAATACCACTTTCTAACAACCCTTTTGGATCCGTTTCTGATCATTTAAAATATTTTTTATAATGATGTTGATTATTAAGAGTCATATACTGCATTGTTATTCTATTTTATTTAATTAGAATATTAAATAAACTTAATATTTTGTTAATAGGGTGGCACAAACGGCCAGTTTTATTTATTACTTATTTATCAGGACACAAATTAATGTAAATAAATTTGACATTAATAAGTGCAGCACTCATGTAAACTTCTGAGTTCTTTATTTGACAAATACTGACAAGTACATACCAACTTCATCTTCAGTAAAAACATCAAGCAACAAAGCACACTCAGTTGAAAGTCCCTCTTTTTCTGTTCAAGTAAAAATCTGGCTGATCTGTATGTTTTTTTAGGTGTCAGATGTCTCACCTACAGAACATCTGTGTATGCACATTCACACATGTACAAAAGGAAGACTGACAATCTATAGAAAATAATAATAATAATTTAAGATGCAGCAGTTTGTAATTATTATCACCTTTAATAAACATAAAAACAATTTATTATATATATATATATATATATATATATTAGTTTTTACAGGGAAATTCCCGTCCAGCATTGAAGTAACAATCTGCTGAGCAATGTTGCAGGACCCCCCTTTCGCCATACCCAACAGACAAGACACTTTGTCAAAGTATAAGCCACTCTGATTGATGACACCTAAATAAAATCAAGTACATATTTAAGCAAGACACAACAGTAATTCAAAGTTTTAAAACTAATGGAGTACTGTAAAAAGTGCTTTGCATATTCTGTACTCTTTATCATGTACACACACGCACACTTTTTCCCAGTTGTCACTATTTAATTTTTTTTTTTTAAATAACTTGCTGTCCAGCCAGATGTAATGAGCCTGCTTCTTGTATTTTGGATCACTGACAAAGGCTCAGCAGGTCCTGGATGTCAGTGAGAGTTGAAGGAATGTCCCATCACCATCCTGTGTGACAACTCTCAAGAGGGTACATCGCAGGATCTCAGGTGGCATCTTTTCAAAATAACCAACACCAATCATCAAATTTTCGCATAACATACAGTATATTTAAGTTAAACTCAAAGAGTTAAATATGTTTGTACTAGGAATGCCCCCTCCTCACATTCCCCTTTCCATAACAGTTTTATGCATGGGTTATAAAGTAAACAAAAAAAGAGAAAATGAAGTGTAAATAAATATATAAAAAATAATTAAAAGCAAAAATCAATTAAAACAAAAAGAGAGAGAAAGAACTGACGTAAAATAAAATAAAACGGAGAATATGCTCCATAAGAATCATAATGATGGATATATCAATGTCAATGATCTGCAAACAGAAGGTAGTATAGATCAATAGGTTAAGAATCAAGTTTTATTCATTCATTCATTCATTTTCTTGTTGGCTTAGTCCCTTTATTAATCTGGGGTCGCCACAGCCGAATGAACCGCCAACTAATCCAGCAACATTTTATGCAGAAACATACACACACACATTCACACACACACACACTTATACATTAGGGACAATTTAGCCTACCCAATTCATCTGTACCGCATGTCTTTGGACTGTGGGGGAAACCGGAGCATTCGGAAACCCACGCGAACGCAGGGAGAACATGCAAACTCCACACAGAAACGCCAACTGAGCAGAGGCTCGAACCAGCAACCCAGCAACCTTCTTGCTGTGAGGCGACAGCACTACCTACTGCGCCACTGCTTCACCCTATCAAGTTTAATATTTCACATATTCAGTAACATTACCAGAATATGTAAATTAGAGAACATGCCTTAATGAAAAATATATTTTGTTATCTTCGATATCAAAAAACCTCATATGATGGACTGTGTTGCTCAAAACTCTTTAAATTTTACATTAATCTAAGTGAATGAGACCACCAACTGTACGATCAACCTGGAAAACGAACCGAAAGAATTTTTTTTTAAAGACTTTAAAGCTTCTCATTCCTTATTGGACTTTAATTAAGTAAATTACACAAAGCTCGTAGGGTGTACTGCACTGTAATATAACTATTTACATGACAGAAGATGTGTACTCACCATGCAGCGATGATAATCAGAATCGAAAGCATACACTACATCAAAGTCAATATGTTTCCGTGAACCAATGAAAGACTTGTAGGTGGAGCAACATGTTCAGTCCCACACACTTATGGGTGGGGCTGCACATTCAGCCACGCCCCAATCTGCGGGCTGCATACGGGTGTACAGTAGTTTGCAAAAAACTGAGCTCATAATTGTGCTTTTATGATGCATTATATATTTTTTTTTCTTATTAACTTTAATCTGTATTTATTTGTTCAATGTATGTTTATTTTAATACATGTAGCATTTTTAAAATACAATTTCAGATTTTTTCATCATCTTTATACATTATTTTAATTATCCTTCAGGCACGTAGCCAGGGTGGTTCGAAAGACCCACCCCTCACTGACAAAGGTCCAGAATTTTTCCCACACATGAGCTCATTTATCCTATTTTGTCCGTTAAGCCATCATAAATTATGTAAAAGATAAATAAATAAATCGAAAAAGCCTTTAAGATCAAGTGGTTATCTTATGCTACTGTTGTGTTTTTAAATAGAGAAAACATTTTACAAGTGACTTTTATTCTAAATATTTGAACTTATTCTTGACACCAAAACTGATCAATAAAAGCTGTGAAGCATCTAAGCAGCC